AGTAGGCTGTCGCGGGGGGCTCGCCGGGCGTTCTTGAAGGGCTCCGGTCTCCCCTCCTCATCTCCTGTCGGCCTTTCCTGCCTCCTCCCGTCGCTTCAGTAAGTGCCTTGTCATGAGTCACCAGAGGGAGAGCACTTTCTGCAAACAGGGACCTTGCGGGACCCCCTCCCCGCAGAGGGAGCAGCGAAGAAGGGAAGCGGCGGCCTGGGGATGGCAAGGAGCGTTTGACAGTTATGTGTATGTAAAGGAATGTTGTGAAGGTTGACTTCACTTGGTACCTGACGTTAGGGATTGACACACTGCCTTTTACCCACCTTTAAGTTAAAAAAAAAAGCCAATGAAAATCAGAAAAAACCGGCCAGGCGTTAACTTATGGAAAGTTTCCTCTCAAAAGTCAACGTGAGGGGGGAAAAAAGTCTATGTGGCAGGAAGAAAACCCAACAGACCAGCTGCACAGAGGAATTTTGGTCAACATTACGGAATCATTGGGATTTCCTGGGGGAAGGGAAAGTAGTACCCAGTGGCAAGTGATGTTCTGAACCTGGCTGTGCAGTGGCCTCTGCGGTTTTGCCCGGCGTCCAGAATGGCGTTCGTACTGCTCTCTGGATGTCCTGGGGCTGCAAGACCTCCAGCTGTGGCCTTTCAAGCTTTCTTCTAACGACTTCTCCTTACTCAGCTCTCCATTCAAGGGCCCTGCGGGCCCCCTCCTTGGTTCCCATCCTGCAGATGAGCAAAAGGAGTAAATGCCCTGGAAAAATGTGCCATCATCTTTTAAAATAAGATTTGCTAGGGGGAGGTATAGCTCAGGGGTAGAGCGCGTGCTTAGCATGCCCGAGGTCCTGGGTTCAATCCCCAGTACCTCCGTTAAAATAAGCAAATTAAATGAAAACCTAATTACTCTACCCACCAAGAAAAAGACTGATTGAAAATAAATAAATAAAATTTAAAAAATCAAAATAAGAGTTACGAATCAATTGGTGACTCATCCTAGAGTTAGCACTCAGATCTGCTTTCAGACTTTCTCTTCACTGATGTGTTTAACTGAGTTGAAGTAACTGTGGACAGCAGAGTTGTTTTGGAGAAGGCTGTGTTTTTCCCAGTGTGTGTATCAGGCTGTGCTCTCATTGATAGCGTGACTGCCTTGGCGAATTTCTCAGATTGTGAGGAATTAAAACATCCTTCTTCTGAAATTTATTATTTATTAATAAAGAGGTCTTCTAAAGATTTCTGTGGGCTAACTGGTTTTTTAATTTTCACTTTTTTGGTGGGGGAGGGAGAGAGTGTGGGCTAACTGGTTTTTATCTCACCAGTTCTTCGATTCCCCCAGGAAGTATTCTGGGCTTATTTTCTTATAAATAGGGAAACCTAAGTTACCAAGAAGTTGTGTGTCCTTGTTGCCAGGCCAGTCTCTTCTTGGGTATTTTATTTTATAGCCCATGTCAGAGGCCAAGCCAGAACTTCCTTCAGTATGAGTTCTGTTTGTCTCTTGGAGTTAAATACTGATCTTGGCTTGGAAACCTGGACTGCCATGCCCTGTTGTAAATAAACAAGGGGAATTACCTCTTAAGCTTTAGAACTCTCCAGAAGTATGTAATCCTGACCATTAGCTCCTCAAGGAGCGGAGTGTTATGCTCATGGTTCTGAGGGAACAAAGGAATGATCACAGAACCCCTCAAAGAGAAGGAGAGCTCTTTACTTCTTAACCTGCCTCAGTGTTGGAGACAGATTTCAGAAACAAATCAATGGAAATTTCTTAATGCCCAGGAGGCTGATTTCTAGGTGTTGAATCCAGAGTAAAGTGTAGCAGAAATCAAAAATCAAAAAACTTAATGTCTGCAGTGCATACAGATGAGCGAGAAAGCTAAACAGATGATATTGAGAAGCAAAAAAAAAATTATCCTTTTAACAATTGGGATTTCATGAGGAGTATTTTAAAAAATCTTAAAAATTGAGAAAATTATGAGGGTAAACCCTTTCCAGTCAAGTGAAAGTTAGTAAATGAGACAGAGTCAAGCCAGGAAAATCTAGACTGTTCTGAATTTGTGTGATAAAAGTGGACAGATCAAAAGCCATTGTGGTATTTTGTCATGTGTGTCAGTAAAAGCCTTTTCAAAGACAACTGCTTGTGTGGTTTCCATCTGTGTAGTTTTGTTTTAAATATAACGTACAGCACACTAACTGCTGAGAGGAGAAATTACAGCGGGAGAACTTTGTGGCACTTTCTGTCCATCATTCCATTCCTGTGGCAGGCGGAGCATCTTGTGTCTAGTTGGTGACAGGGCTTGCTGCTCCATGCTCCCTGGCTGAAGCAGGACCTTGTGCAGCTGGCCAGGCAGACCAGCTCACCTTCAGCAGGGCTGTGACCAGCCTAAAAGTCAGGTCTAGAAAGTGGTGCTCTTTGTCCAGTGTCTTTAGGCCTGGCACCTGTTTCAGGCTTGCTGTGAAAGTATTTTTTTTAAATCCTGCCAAGTTTGACCATGGTATTGAACACTTTTATTTCTTTTCTTTTAATCTTTCTGTTGACAGTAAATAAACTAGAAGATTTCCTGTGATTCTTTTAAATTAGTCTAACCTATGTGTGGATCCTAGAACAAAGTGAGATCTTTTCTAATGAACTTGGTCATTCATGACTCATGGTGGGTTTTTCCTGATTTTTTTTCCTTTTGGTACATCTGAAGAGAAAGATGCTAGTGTTTCAGATATACTCACTTTTTAAAAAATATACATTCATTTATTTATACTGAAGTATAATCAGCTTACAACGTTGTGTTGGTTTCTGGTACATAGCACAATACTTCAGGCACATAGGAACATACATGTATTCATTTTCACATTCTTTTTCAGATATAATCTTAATAAACGAATAAATAAGGGTTAGAAATTGAAGTTTGTATTTTCCTGAGTGAGACAATGGGAGTTGAGAATCAGGCTGTACTCTTAGGATGTCCTCCCATATGCTGGTGACTGTACCTCTGCTTCTCTTCTAGAAACCTTGGGTTGGGCGTTGCGAGGAGGAAGGGTGAAGTTTGGCGTTAAGTCTCTGACCCAAACGCTGAAGGACTGCAGGTGCTAGTTTCAGAGATAGGTCGGGAGGACCTCACTAGTCTGTGCAGTAACCATCTCGTGTCATTTACGACAGATAATTCGTGTCCAGTCCCCCGACGGGGTGAAGAGGATCACAGCAACGAAGAGGGAGACAGCTGCGGCGTTTCTGAAGAAGGTACCTGTGGGCTGTCCACCTTCCCGCCCCACTGCCGTCGCCTTCCTGCTCTGTGTGTGTCTCTTTTCCTCATCTCCTGGTTCCGCCCCCTCCCAAGTTCAGCCTCTTGCATTGCTTTTCTCTGTCATGATTGGGGGGTCAGATGTGTCGCAGCTGACCACTGCTGCCCTTGTAGGACCAAGAGCCCAAGGGTAAGTAGAAGAGGATGTCACAGGAGTAATACTTATAAGCGTGAATAATCAGAGTGGAGAACTTGAATTGTCTATCAAAGGGGAGTTAAAAATGCGATTCCACTTCGTTCTAGAAAATATTAGAGCCATGTGCAACCCATCTATTGTGGGAGCACAGAATATGATTTGAAAGAGCACAAGCGAGATTCAAAAGGGGGAACACCTGGAAGGAAGGCCAAAGCGAGGAGAGCGGCTTTCGCTTTATGCCCATAGCACAGGTCGGTGCGCCGCGGCGCGGGCCTGGCCTGCCGTTTCCGTTGCAATGCGGCCACGAGTGCTGCTGTAGGCGCTGTCTGGCTGCTTTTGAGCGCCAGGGCAGGGCTGAGTAGCTTGACAGACCATGTGGCCTGCAAAACTGAAAATACTTACTGCTTGACCCTTCACAGAAAGAGTCTGCCAACCTCTATGCATTCTTTATTATTTGAATTTATTGCAAGCAGGTGTTATCTTTGTAATGATAAAAATTAGTGTTCTTCATTTTTCATGCTTTCATTTAGCATTTTATTTTATTCTTACATAAAGTGCTTTTTAAGGCTGATTTGGAATCGTGTTTATGATATAAACATAAGGAGGAGAATCCGAGTTGAATTAAGTGGGTAGGATCCCTTTGTGACACTTCATTCAGAGTCCAGCCTTCCTGAACCATTTTTTGTCTCAGCTGTCAACGTCCTTGAAGGGGTCCTCATCTGCCCTCTCAGGAGGGTCAGCGTGCCAACCGCCGACACCTGTTCTGCAGGTGCTGCTGCTGGGTTCCCTGCGTCTCACCCGTGGGGCTCAGCCGCCGAGATCGCCACTCCTTCCTTGACTGATCATTAAATGGCTTGTTTGGTAGAAATATTGGGGGGTGACAGTTGTTCAGCTTCTTGGGTGACAAGTCTGCGTGAGTCCAGGCAGTGACCGGTGTGTCAGCTCTGCTAAGACGCTGTTGCTGTAAGAGGCACCCATTCCAGCGATGTGAGATCTTACCTGTGATCGTTTGTAACCCGCTTTTTTTCACCTGATGACGGTTATGGACATGGTTCTATGTCAACAAGCGTAGATTTACATCCTTTTTTTTTCAATAAGTTATTTCCTTTTTATTTTTGCAATGTCATTCCATATCTTTTTTTAATTGTGATTTTAAAAAAGCATAAAATTTGCCACATAAACCGTGTTTCTGCATGCCTTTCAGTCGTGTTAAACATACTCACGGTGTTATGCAGCCGTCACCCCCACTCGTCTCCAGACTTTCTTCATCTTCCCAAACGGAAACTCTCTCCCCATTGGACTGACTCCCCCTCCCCGTGCCGTGGCCCCCACCATTTCTGCTTTCTGTCTTCATGAATTTGGCTCCTCCAGGGACCTCATGTTAGTGGACTCATGCTGATTTATAATGACTCATGATGTGGCTGTGCATTTGTGCTCTATCATTGGACTTTGAGATGGCCTCCCTGTCCCCTCACAAACCTGTCTGCAAAGTGTGTGCTGGCCTCTGTGACATTGTTGTCTCTCGGTTGCTGTCTCCATACTTGACAGCCTTTACCCTGCTTTAATGTGTGGCTTTATGCCCTCTAAGGAAGTTGGTTCTGCAAGTGTGATGAGATGGCTTGTGTCAAAACTGTCTCATAGAATTTTGATTTACTGATTCCTTTGAGACCATCTAATGCTTCCTAGTCAAGAATTCCTTCTCTGTGCATCATCGGACCACAGACCCCTCCCAGACAGGCTCTTCTGGCTGTCTGTCACTCGAAGGCACCTTCCCTCTCCTCCAAGACCCAAGGCTCTGCTTCTGCTGTCGTCTCTCCCATGAAATGGCCCTCTCTGAGTCACCCTGGACCCTACCTGCCTGGGCTGGTGGCTGTGTTCAGTCCTAGCTTGATTGACCTCTCAGCAGCAGCAGGGGACACGGTGCCTTCTCCTTACAGTACTTACACGTTAAAAAAAAATTATTTATTATTGTATTATTTAATTACTTTAATTTTAGGGGGGAGGTAATTAGTTTTATTTTTGGAGGAAGTTCTGGGGATTGAACCAAGGACCTCTTGCATGCTAAGCATGTGCTCTGCCACGGAGCTATACCCTCCCCCCTTAAACTTTTTTTTTTAACAGTGAAGTAAAATACCTTCTAGGAAATGCTTGAAAATGTGAACAGATTGATGATGAAGCAAACACGCAGGTCCAGGTGGAGGCAGTGCCAGCCTCCGGAAGCCACCGGTCAGCCTTCCCACTCCCTCCCCCGCTGCCACCCTCTCCTGCCCTGTTGGGTTGTGCCCACCTGTCCTGTGTTTCACCACCTCAGTATGCGTTCCTAAACCCTGCATTTAGTTTTGCCTGTTTTGGAACTTAAAATAAATGGAACCAGGCCATGCCTTCTTTTTTGTTACCTTCAACTATAAACATTTGTATTAATTTTACTCCATACCATGTTTCTGGTTTCGTTATGCTAGTTACACATCAGGATTACCTCAGGTGTGAAATACAGTTCTTAGGATTTTAGTCATGCTCTTGTAAGACTCTGCTAAGGTTTTTAGAAAATGCTTGTCACCTTAGGTTTCTGTACCTTTAGGTAAAGACCACACAGAGCTTACGGGAGCAGTTACTTTCACAGCAAAGAACCTAATGCATACATTTCTGTGTCTCGCAAAAGTGAGGTTCAGGGTATGTGAAGTACTGTTGCTGTTACCGTATTTGAAAAGGTAGCTGCATCTCAGTCCTGACAGAAAGGGCAGAGCTGGGTCGCGTGGTCACCGGGGAGTCCACTCTGTTCACGCGGCGGCCACGCAAGACTGCGTGCTGCTCTGGAGGCCGCGTTTCTTTCTTCCCGGGAGTGTTGCAGTAACTCACAGCTGACACTCTTGGAACAGGAGTTCTCGTCCTTGGCAATAGCTTGCCGTGCTTTGTCTACAGAAAAACGTTGTTTTTGCAGAATAGATAAAATGCCACAATTTGTAGTTGGAATTTGACACAACATTGTAAAATGACTATAACTCAATTTAAAAAGCTAAAAAAAAGCCGCTATTTGTTAATTTCTATTTGTATCTGTTTCAGAAAAAAGTCAAAGACATTCTTTTTAGTCTTTAGTCTCGCCTCTGTTTTTGCACTTGAGAATACAAATTTCATGGTCTTAATTTCCTGATACTTAATTTTATTAATGACACTTTTAACTTGGAGAAAAAAAATCCCATGGTATCAAATATTTATAATACATGATACAAAATCTTAACTTTGTCTTAAAGGCTATTTTTTACTGTCATTTTCTGAATTTGAGTAACAAGGTGATTTGGAATTACTTTTAATCCATTTTTTTTTAATCAGTAGAAAATAAGGTTAGTGCATAAACTTAATCATCAAATCAACTCTTGTTTTCCTTACAGTAAGTAATCACTAGGCTTTGTCAGTAATCCCCTGTTAAAGGACAGATCAGCCGTAGGTGAAAAGCAGCAGGGAGAACCAGGTGTACACTAGGGCTGAGCCGGACGCGGCCCGCTGCCGACCTGTGCCGTCCCTGCCCTGCCAGGCCCCTCTGTCAGCGGCTGCTGCCCTGCCGCGCGACTCGGAGCTGTTGCTGTCGCGTGCCCCCCGGGTGTGCGCTTCTGCCTGGCGGTCTTCAGCCTGAGCGATGTTGTGGGGGACGCCTGCCGGCAGCGGACACGCTCAGGCCTTGTTGACCTGAGAGCCTTTTCACTCTGCCCTTGTATTTGCAGGGAATTTTCTCCGGAGTGAGAGTCCTGAGTTGGCATGTGTTTCTTTCCGCCTCAGTCTTTCCGCTGATCTCTGGCTGATAGTGGTGTGAGGGCGACTTGCCGGACGTAGCTTTCTTTTTATTTATCCTTTGGCTTTGTTGAACTTCCTGGATTTGTTAGGCTTATGTTTTGCATCAAATCTGAGGGTTTCGGCCATTCTTTCTTCAAAGGTTTTTCAGTCCTACCCCTGTTCTCTTCTCCTGAGGGTCACTTGATACTGTCCTGGGTTGATTTTTCTTTCAAATCTCTGTCTTCCGATTGTGTTGTTTATGTTAACTGTCTTCAGGTTAATTGAGTTTGTTTTGTCATCTCCCTTCTGCTGATAAGCCCACCCAATGAATTTTCCACTTCATTTATTGTATTTTCAGTTGTAGAATTTCCCCTTGATTCTATTTTATCGTTTCTGTTTCTATGCCGAGATTCCCTGTGTCTTTAACTCTGATGACCCTCCAGCTCTGGCCCCTCTCCTGGTCCCAGACTCCAATTTCCTCATGAGAGAGCAAAATGACAAGAGAAATTTGATTAATGAGGAGAGTTTCTAAATTTAGTGAGTGTTTGAATAACGTCTGGTGTATCTGGTATATGTGGTCTGAGTAGCAATACTTAAATATTTTATTAAATCTCTGTTTTGGGGCTTGTTTTAGGTCGCAAAGGAGTTTGGCTTCCAAAATAATGGCTTCTCAGTTTACATCAATAGAAACAAGACTGGGGAGATCACAGCATCATCCAACAAGTCCCTCAACCTGCTGAAGATCAAGTAAGTGTCCAGCGGGCGGCGGGGTTGGGAGGCCTGAGGCCCCGGTTACGTGCCTGGGGCCACCCAGCGCTCTCCGAGCTCCTTCTCGTGCCACTGCATTCACGGTCCTGTTTGTCAACCCAGTGCCAGAGACCGTCCTTTTTGCCAGGTGTTTGGCAGCTACACTGGGGCTGCGGGTACTGGTAAGCGATTTGACTGACTTGCAGAATTCGGGAAGGGTGTTGCCGAGGAGTAGGAGTTCCCATCCCGGGGCGTGTGCTGCTGTACACTCAGCTGCTTCTCTGCAGGGAAAGGCCTTGATCGGAGCTCTGTGCAGAGTTCTGCCTCGGGGCCCATTGGGCAGATGGGGGGGTGGGGGGCGCAGGACAGGGGTCCGTCTCCCACGCCGTATTTCTCACTCGCAGGAGCCTCTGGAGTGCCTTAGAATTGATGGGTAGTGTCAGAAGGAGTTTCTGGGGTGCTGGGCCCGCCACCCCACTGTATGTCCTTTTACTTCTACACGTTCATTCATTTATGTGTTTGCACGCCACGAGGCAAGCTGAGTGACTGACAGGGACTGTATGGTCTGCAAAGGCTCTTTACAGAAAAGGTCTGCTAGCCCCTGTCTGAGCTGCCAGGGCCCACGTGCTCACAGATCAGTGAGCAGGACCCTTTGAGTCATTTCTGTCCTTGGGGAGCCGGTGGGGAGCCTGCTGCTGTGGCCCCAGCTGAGGGTGGGCCGGCCTTCACCGGCGTTGGGCCATGTGCCTTTTGCAGTCAGAGTGACGGGCTGTTTTATCAGTTTGTGTGTTCGTTTTCAGATTCAGGTTTAGTATACTGAGGGAAAAGTACTGGGTAAAAGTGTTAGTTTACCTGTCCTGCAGCCTGCTTGCTGCCGCCCCGGGGCGATGTGAGGCCCATGCTTGCTCACGTCCGTCTCCAGGGGGTGAGGGGCACCCTTCCTCCCAGCTTGTGAAGCACTTCTTCGTCCTAAGAGTCACTGCTCGCTGAGTTACACAGGTTTGGGTTCCTAACCCCACTGCTCACTGGCTGTGTGGCCAGGGAAGTCATGTCACCTGATGGGGCCTCCCACCCTTGTGTGCAAGGGGGTCGCAGCGCCTCCTTCCCGTGGTTGCCCTGCGGTGACGGGCACCAGGTGATGGACACCGCGAGGGTTCTAGCTGTGTTTCTAAAGCTGTTCCAATGGCCAGACCAGAAAGGGGCTGCGCAGTGAGACAGCTGGGAGACAGACCTGAGGTGTGCTCACACTCGGAGGGCACGCCTTTCTGAATTATCCCCGAGCTTGTCTTTCCAGTGATAGTCGTGATGCTTACTGACCAGCATGGGCGTCAACTTGAGAGCCGCCTTCTGTCACTGCCCGCGAGTTACTTGGCCCGTCTTTAAGGGGGGCCCCTTTGGAGCTCGAGGTGGGCCTCAGTGCACTGTCTCGCTCCCACTGCCGCAGCTCAGCGGTCTGCTCTAGTTCTGCGTTCACTTGTAGGCTCTGTTTTTGGTTCCCCCGGTTGCTTTTAAGCTCTGTTTGTTTTGGGGTCCTGTGGTTTCTGTTTAACCTGTCTAGGTGTGGGTCCCTGGTTGGTTGGTTGGTTGAGATGCTACCTGATGTAAGATGTATCTGCAGATCAGGTCTAGAAAATTCATGGCCCTTATCTCTTTAAATATTTCCTCTCCCCCATTCGATCTGTGTTTCAGTGATTGCATTTCCACTTTTTTCTCTGAGTCTGTCTGATTCCTCCCAACCCTGGCTGTTAGCGCTGGTGCTCAGGGCTCCTTCCGGGCTCCTGGTCTGCACGCACTGGCCTGCCAGACTGCCTGTGAGGACTCTGGTTCCCCTGCCACAGGCCTTCTGCCCGGGCCGTCTCTTACCTGTGCTGCCCTCCTGAGTCCTGAGGATCCTGTCGCAGTGTTGCCGGTGCTTTCCGTGGGTTCCTGTGTTGTCCAGCCTGTTCATCAGGGGACTTGGAAGAGCCACTGAGTGTGTGGCCCCGGGCCTGCTCCCCAGAGTCCCCGGACATTTCTGGATGCCTCTTGTTTGCATTCTTCTGGTCCATTTCCAGTCAACGTTCCACGCACACGTTTATGTTTTGTCCTGAGCGCCACAGCCGGAGCCCCTGGTGTCCACACCGGGCAGTTGTTGTCTGCTGGCTCTTACTTTGGTGGCTGTTTCTCTTGTTCGCTTGGGAGCTTTCTTTGAGAACTTGCGTGTGGCAGACTTGGTCTTGGGGGCCCTGAAGGACCTGGGCTTGGTGGCTTGTCCGCAGAGAGGCAGTTGCTTCTGTCTGCGCAAGGGGGCATCGTGGGCCCAGCCCTCCTTGGGGTAATGTCTGTCTTTGGTCTCCTGAACCAGGGAGCATCCCGATTCCACCTGGATGCGTGGCAGAGCAGGCCTCTGGTTGCTGCCTCTCAGAGGTGACTGTTTCCCCGCTGCAGGGTGGATGGAGGCAGATAGGATTCCTCCCTGGTTCCTGTTCTCAGCCGGTGGATTCTCCCAGCTATTGAGACATCCTTTGGATGTCTGGCTTTGTGTGGCGTTTCGGGCTCAGCAGCCCACCTTGGGCAGGTGGGCTCGAGGCCTCGTCTCCCGCGGATCCGGAGACCGGCTGTCAGCCAAGCTCAGGTGCCTGGGAGTGGCCAGCCAGAGGGCAGCTCTGGGCTGTGTTCTCCCACTGCTCTTGTTGAGCTGCTGTGGGTTTCTGGGACCCTCAGGGGATCCTTTCTTTATGGTCCACTGTGCATCTTGGAGCACATCTGTTAGAACTGATGGGCCAAGAGTCCTGTAGCTAGAGGGTGAGCAGCTTCGCTGCGAGACGTCTATTAGATGTAGACCATGTCCAGAGGGGTTTGTAGGGTATTTGTCACCAAAAGAGAAAAACAAATGCAGAAGTTGTGTCTCTGATCATCTCAGTTTGTGAGTTGTGGATGTCCGTCCATGTCGTGTTCACGTTTGTGTGTGAATGGAGAGAAGGAAATGGAAGGATGTGTCCCAGGGAGGTGAGTGGGGGAGCCGGGCAGCCCCACGGTCCATCCTGGGACTGCAGGTCTTCTGTGCGGAACCAGACATGTGTGGACACGTAGCGTGGACTCTGCCGGGTTCTTGTGGAGAAGTTCTATTACAGTCCAGAGAACCTGCCGCCGGTTCTCTGCACGGGGAGACGGGAGAGCGAACCCTGGTTTCTTAAAATCACAAGCCTCGATACTCAGGCCTGTGGAGCGGCTGGAGTTTGCAGGCGCCATAGATTCTCACGTGTCAGCTGCTCTCCTTTGCAGCTCAGGCTGGGAGGGAGGGCGGCCCCGACTCATGGCTGGGCTGTCGTTGGAACAGGCACGGGGACTTGCTGTTCCTGTTTCCCTCGAGCCTTGCTGGCCCCTCGGCTGAGATGGAGACGTCGGCCCCCGTGGGGCTGAAGGCCTGCGGCGCTCCCCACGTGGTGGAAGACGAGATCGACCAGTACCTGAGCCGGCAGGACGGCAAGATCTACAGAAGCCGAGACCCGCAGCTGTGAGTGCCCGGGCGGGGCGGGGCCGCAGGCGGCCGGAGGAGGCGGCAGGAGCTTTGGGTTGGACCATCTATTTTCAGCTTGCATTTCAGTGCTAGTTACTTTGTGAGCTTTCTCTCACTGTTTGAATCTTAGTGTACGCCCCATGTGGACTTTAAGGTTTCAAATGTTGGAAACTATGAGATTTGAAAGAAGGGAGGGCCTTACACCGAGTCCTCACCACGAGTGCCCCGAGATGCCTGGGTGCACGTGCAGAGTGGGCCTCGTGCGCGCAGCGGGGCAGGAGGAGGGCGGGTATTAGGCACCTGCTGGTGCCGGGTCTGCGGCCGTGGCACCTCGTCTGGCGGCGTCTCTGCGCAGCATGTTCTTTCTGCCGGAGATGCTGCTCCTTCCCCAAGGAGCCGCTTTGTGCCTGGTTGTGTGAAATGCTTAGGCTTGTGAACATGTGTGTCTTTTAGGTTCTGTGCTGTTCTGTTTAAGGAGACCAGGTAGGAAAGGCTGAGCTCACACTCAGTGACGTGAAATCATCTGAGGGAGGGTGGTTGGTCTCGGCAGTAGAGTCCTTGGTGGCTGTATCCGTCTGTGAGGGTGATGGGTGCTGCGTTAGCAGCTCATACGTCTTAGGTTAGAGCCCTGAGGGGTGCCAGGCTGCAGTTGGCGTGGGGCCACTTCCCGGTCAGGGCCGTGGGCTGGCTCACGGCCTCCATCTGCAGTCCTCCTGGGACCCAGCGACCGTGAGGCTTCACTGGGAGTCCTTCAGAGGGTGCACGTGTGTGTGTGTGCGTGTGCTCGTGCTCCGACCTGTCCCCCAGAGGAGCCTGCCTGTCAGGAGACACAGGCCCTGTCTACCTGGAAATGTAGAACGTGGTGCATCTACGAGTTGTGACTGCATGTGGGAAGTGACCTGATGGAGCCTGCCACCGCCCTTGCCACCTGAGCGTCACCTCCCCATTGTCACAGTGTGTGCGTGGAGCCGCCGAGGCTCCCTGACCAAAATGTCAGAAACTCACAGAGCCAACCACCTTTTATGCCCTTTTTACTGAAATGTGCACGAAGTGGGTGTTCTCCACACTTGGGTTTCTTACGTATTGGGCTCAGGGTTTTGCCGTGTCTGTGTACCAGCTTAGTCTTTGCGTAACGTTCCTGTTTAAATTGGCTTGAAACCCACTCTCTTCTGTATTTAGTCAGTGTCGTTCAAGCAGCTAGTACCCGTGAGGTCACAGGTTTGCTGTGCTGGTCGGCGTTTCCTGGTACACACAATGAGAGCAGTTCACTGGGCACCCCTGCAGGGAGTTTCACGTGCGTGGGGAAGCTCTCTGCTCGGTACAACGTGCATTTCAAGTGTCAGCCCGGAGTGGGCAGCACCAGCAGGGCAGGCGTGCTGACGCCACGTTTCTCTCCTGTGCCCTCAGGTGCCGGCACGGGCCCCTGGGGAAGTGTGTGCACTGTGTTCCTCTAGAGGTGAGTCCTCGCTCATGAGTCCCCGTCTGGCGTGACGCGCGGCTTCCCGGAGCCGACTAAGCGCTTTTGCTGGGTCCCTGCGTTCCCTGGGTCCCTGCTCTCCCTGGGTCCCTGCTCTCCCTGGGTGCCTGCATTCCCTGGGTCCCTGCTCTCCCTGGGTCCCTGCTCTCCCTGGGTCCCTGCTCTCCCTGAGTCCCTGCACTTGGTCTGGGGTTAAAGGAGCTGCTTTGTTCCTTGCCCTGGGCCACCTGTCCCCACCAGTGCGGGCTGCCTGAGAGGATGGGCCTTTCTTTATGCGAGCAGGCTTCCTGTGGATAATGGAAGCTGCAGCCTCCGCGCTGCTGTGATGAAGGGCGGCATTTGCCCCAGGCCCCGGACAATCTTTTGAGCCCCGCACGAAGCCAGGCCTGCCGTTTTCCTGCTCGGCACTGTTGTGATTGACTTGGCGCTGACCCTCACGTCTCCTGTACCGATTCATTCTGGTGAGACTGAGAGTCACGCCGACGCGGTGGGCGAGCAGGGCCAGCCTGGCTGTTTGCTCAGCTCCTCTGGTGCTTTTTTCTTTTTTTGCAAAATGTACCTGACACTGACCTGACTTAGACCTTTGTATTTAATAGAGATTCTCTTTGACTTTGAAAAGATGACTGGTACCCAGAGAACTTGGCTCTGACCTAGAATGATAAGTGGGGACCCAGTGTCTGCTCCCCGACTGCACGCCACGGCACTGGCCAGTGAGGCAGTGGCGGCTGCGTCTCCCTGCGCGGAGCTGCCTGGTGCCTCCGGCCTCACGCGCCCAGCAGCAGGTGCCTGACGGCGTCCACTGTGTGTTTTGACAGCCGTTCGACGAGGACTACCTGAACCACCTGGAGCCTCCCGTGAAGCACATGTCCTTCCACGCCTATATCCGGAAGCTGACCGGAGGGGCCGACAAGTAAGCAGCTGGCTCGCAGGGGCGGCGCCGACGAGGGTCGGGGCTCGGATGTTTGTTCTCTGTCCCTGGCACATGCTGCTCAAGCCCCTGGGCACGTGAGTGAGAGAAGTAAAGATCAGAGTCTGGGCACAGAATGTTTGAATGTGTGAGTTTTGCCCCAAGTCTAGAAACGGGTGGGGACTCTGATGCCTGTGCCCAGGCGGGGCAAGGGCCAGGCTGGCGGGGCCGCTCTGGAGGCCCTGGGACACCTTGCCAGCCTTCCCTCGGGCTTGCGGTGCCCTGGCAACTTACTGCCTGTGAAGGTGGATGAGATAAAGTGTGGTGGTGGCCAGTCATATGTCTAGAGTCTGGGCTCTCCCTCTGTTTTGTGGAGAGCCTGAACTAGCCTGTGGTCATCTTGGCTCCGCTTCGCAGCTGCCATCAGCCCTTTGCCCTGGAGCCTGCCTCTCCATCCGCTTCATGTCGCAGCCACACGGGGCTGAGTCAGTGGCCTCCCCCGGCCTGGCCTTGCCAGGTCTCGGCATTGCCATCTGTGGTCTCAGCCGGGCGGGCAGCGGGGGCGACTGTGCCCTGGCTGCTTGGGTGCAGGCTGTGACAGCGGCCAGACGGGGCGAGCTGAGAGCATTTGACTTCTTTGAAAGCATGTCACGTCCTCGCCATTGCAGGCCCATCTGTTGCTGTTCACCTGACATTTCATCCCATGATTTTATGATCCCATCCATGCAACAAGAGGGGACGGTGGCTGAACCTGAGTCAGCAGCATTTTGTAAAGAATGTCGTGTTGGCCTGCTTGTAGTTTTTCTTGGGCAACCTGCTGACATCCTAAAATAACTTTTAAAAAGTTAGATGGGGAAAAAAACCTCAGCAGAAACCCATTCTTTCCCATCTGTGGGGTAAGCTCAGAAACGTTCTGACCCAGAGAATGAGTGTGCTGGGGTCTCTGGCTTTTTGTTGGTCTAGGTCGTGGCTCACTTGTCGCTGTCAGTAACGTGCAGGCTTGGTGGCAGTCGTGGCCTCCCAGGCGCCCTCATTCCAGCACGCTGCTGGCTTGGGAAGACAAGACTGAATCGTTGGACCATTTTGTGAACAGGAGACTGGCAGAGGGTGAAGTAACTTGTGCACGTTCACCCCAGGTTCAGAGTGGGGCCCAGGGCTTCCTCGCTGGCCATCTTCCGTCAGTGGTTTTTATCTTAGCTGAAGGGAGAGTGAAGGTATCTTTGTTGTGTGTCCTAATCAGGATTTTACTACGAATAAGAACTTTATACAGAAGCCTGAGGACTAGACTTCTAACGTCAGTGTTTCTGAGAAGCTGATGAAACGTGGAAAGAGCCCCATTTTCTCTCAGGGCTCAGGTTGGGTCGGTAGATACTCGGCAGTACCCTGGAAGATCCCTGTGGGTGCTGGTGATGGTGAGGGTTAAAGCTGTTTTGTAGGAAAATAGTTCTGTAGCCCTGTGCGGCCCAGGCGCTGCAGAGAGCAGCTGGAGCCCCAGGAGGACGGGCTTGAGCGTGTCCCCTGCTGCTGCCGCCGCGTGCTTAGCACCCGAGAACTCCGTCCAGGAGGAGCAAGACATCTGACGTTACATTTCCCGCCTTCTGCTAACCTTTCACCACTGTAATGTTTAACTAAGTGGCCTTTTCTTGTTCAGGGGTAAGTTTGTTGCCCTGGAAAACATCAGTTGCAAGATCAAATCAGGGTGTGAGGGGCACCTTCCGTGGCCCAGCGGCATCTGTACCAAGTGCCAGCCAAGCGCCATCACGCTGAACAGACAGGTGAGACGCCACCGGGCCTGCCAGCGCGGGAGCAGTGGGTTTGTGTTCACGACTGAGAGGTGCCGTGTGCGTTGCAGGTGGCGGGGTCTCGGGTGTTTTCAGACTGACCAACTGACCCTTCTGTGGAACTCACACACAGAAGGAGTTATTTATAAGATCTCCGGCTCCGCCAAGCGTAGAGGGGAGCCTTCGGTTTTCTGTTTGTTGCCTTGTGTGAGGCAGAATTTTCTTGGTGATTTTTAAGATGCTCAGTGGTTGTGACCTTGCCTTTTAAGAAACTGGGGCTCTGGCAGTTGGTAACAGAACTGTCCTGGGAGCAGCTCAGGGCATCTGTCTGGGGCCAGTTAAGAAAGGGGCTGGGCTTGGGAAGGAGGGAGAGCATGAGGGAGACTTATGTGAGGCTGCTCTGGCCGCTTCCACTCTTAATGCCCGGCCCCCCCTCCCTGCCGCCTGCCGCCGCTTAGCCCCTCAGAGAGTGCCACTGCGCCCTTGGCCGTCTGAGAGCTTCTTCCTCTTCTTCCCCCATCCCTCTCCTCTTTTTCAGCCTCCCTCCCGTCTTCCTTCCATTTTTTTTACCCTAGAGATTGTGAAAACCTGTATTTTAGGAGAAATTCCACTAAGAATAATCTGAATTAATTTGTTGAGGAATCCCACTCCAACCCCTCCTGCCCTCTGGAATCTGAAGTGGCCTTAAGGGCAGAGCACACTCTTAAGTGTGTGTGTGTGCATTTGTGTGCACACGCACACGTGGAGCTAGGTAAACGGCATTTACGAATGATTTGTGCTAAGCTAATTGTATATTTTTGATGGAGTGTTTTAATTTAGCCCATTGTTGTTAACTCTGCAGAAATACAGACACGTGGACAACATCATGTTTGAGAACCACACGGTGGCCGATCGCTTCCTCGACTTCTGGAGGAAGACGGGGAACCAGCACTTTGGGTACCTGTACGGACGGTACACGGAGCACAAAGACATTCCTCTCGGCATCAGGGCCGAAGTAGCTGCCATTTACGAACCTCCTCAGGTAGCTGTGAGCAGGGTTACAGTTTGCGGGCCTCTGCGTGTCTGTGTTTCAGAGGCTCTGCGGGGGGGCGGGGGCGGGGGCACTTCTCAGAGGGCACGTTGCTTCCCTGCTGCGTCCTTTCCCCAGTCTCCATCTCTCTGTACACGCAGACACAGACGCACACACAGATAGACACTCACAGACACACCAGACACAGACACAGACACACCAGACACAGACACACCAGACACAGACACACACACACACACACACAGTTGAAGGGGTTGTTTTGGCCCCTAGGGTGTGTCCCACTGGGGACCGGCAGTCGACTACTATGCTCTAAGCTCCCATGGAAGGGCTCCTCTGTTTGAGTGTGCCACCAGCGACTTACATTTACTGTTTTATTTTTAGTACTTAGGGATTGGTTTTACATATATGTACTTTTTAACTTGGTGTACAGTTATGTAAGATATTTATGTGGTCATATGGTGTATGTTATGTAAAATACTTACTTCATTATATAAATTTACTACGAAAGTGGAGACTGGAGCCGTGCTGAATGCTGGTTCACGCCACGCTGAGATAGCTGGGGAGGGGCCTGTGCCTGCGGGTGTGTGTAGATGCAGCAGAACCATGACAGACCGAGGCTGACTGGAGGGCGACCAGAACGTAGTGAATGTTAAATATCTGAGCCTTGGTGGTGGGTTTGTGAACATTCACTGTAGAAGTCTTTAAACTTTGCTGTATGTTTGAAATTTTTCATTTAAAAAACAGGTGGAAAAGAGAAAAACCCTGCACATTTGCAAAGGCAGATGTGCAAACAGTGTATTCCCCTTCATCCGATTTCCTCTCCCCTCCCAGGGTCCCCCCTTTAAACAATTTTTGGTTTAGACCTCTAAATTTTGGTGTTTTAATGTAGGCGGACCCACAGATACTCATACTAGCCCCTCCTTTGCCTGTTCGGGGACCACAGTGCACACACTCGTGTCCCCGGGCGCCGTGTGCACGGGGTCTCGCCGTGATGGGTCTCCTCCCTAAACCAGCCAGGTTCTGGGGCTGTGGGCCTTGTGGCCGCTGCTGGTGCGCAGGCTTGAGGCTCCTGCACAGATGCCTCGTCTTTCCTTCCCTGGCTATGTTTATGCAGGTTTTGTGTGGTCTGCCCACCTTAGACATCTTCATCATGTATTGAGAGCTGCAGTTGAAGTGCAGGGCCTTTTGTGGTGGTTCAGTTGAAAGGCGACTCAAAATGGCTGCAGGGACTCTGCCCCTGCAGGTGCAGAGTCGCGCTTTAAGCGGGGGTGCTCTTGGAAGCATAGAATGCTCAGTGCGGTTTTGTGAGGGTCCCTCTCGTGAAGAGTCTGAACAGTTCTATGCAGAGTGTGATTGAACAAAAAAGTGGGACAGAAAGCTCTGGTGTCCAGCCACTGAAAGTAGCATCAGAGCTTCCAGTCTGGGGATCCTGGAGATGGAAAGAGTTGACCTCTGATTACCCCCAGCTTGTTAAAGCTCAGCGTGCACGTTGCCACACGTCAGGAGACAGAGTCCTGAGGTCTCTCCTGAGTCTGTACGTGGACTGTGCTCTGGAGGTGGTGGTGATCTCCCATGGGTAGTACCCAGAACGTGCAGTTCTTCTGTTGTTTTACCAGAACTGGACAGATGTACAGGGATGGTGCCCAGTTAGCACAGCTCGACTGGGGATCCCCGTCACTTTCCTGTTCTACTGCTGGGTCTTCGGGTCGGTACAGCGCCAGCCTTAGTGACCACAAGCTGGCTTTGTCCCCTGCAGGAAGTGGTCCCGTGGCCAGCGTTAAGTTGCGTGCAGCCAGCCCACGCCTGTCTGCTGCCCTGAGCCCAGCACTGCCCCTGCCGCTCAGCAGGGCACCGACGTGAAGTGCCTTCAGTTGGCTCAGGGTGTGTGTGTCGGTTGCTCTGCGGCCCTGCTTGCCTGGAAGCTAAGCGCTGTCCCTGCAGGAGCTCATCCAGGTTTCCCAGGGCTGTCTTCTGGGCACGAATGTTACCTTACAGCCCTCATGTTGCGTGATCTAGCCAAGCCTATTTGGAGTGAAACTATTTATACAGGGAAGGTTTGAAACTAACTTCTATCCCCGAGGAAGGAATCTTAAGGCGCAGTGAGCCTTCCTTAGTCCTGAACGACCCCACGTTTCACACAGAGCTGTCCGACATGAACCAGCCTGCCTACCGCCTTTTCATGGCCTCCGGGAAGCTTGCTTGAAAGCACAGCACAGTCCTGGCAGGGAGCAGCCTGGAGGGCTTGGCGCGTGTTACTTGGTTGTCTGGAGCGTTTGCTGCTGCCTTCTGGCCTGGGGCAGCGCAGCGTTCTTTCTCTGAGCTCACTCCTCAAAATGCGTCTCTTCCATGCCCAACAGATTGGTACACAGAATAGCTTGGAGCTTCTTGAAGACCCAAAGGCCGAAGTGGTTGATGAAATTGCTGCCAAACTTGGCTTGAGGAAGGTACTGAGCATTCTTGCCTTTGAGGGCGGGTCTGGGCTCCATACTGGGGACGTCTGGGGGATGGCACGGCCAGGCCTCATCTGGGGCTGAACTTCCAGCTGCACAAGGTCGGGTGCAGACCCGAAGCCTCGCTTGTGTTGATGGGTGCCAAAGAAAGGGTCCCAGTGCAGGGGCTGTTACTTTCCAGTCCACCAGCCGTACTTCATGAGGGCTGCCTCAGAGTGGGAGGGAAAGAAACTGTTGGAGGCAAGACCCTTCCTCCTGCCCGGGGGGGACCTGGATGCCAGGCTGTGTGTGCCGCCACCCCCCACTAGGATAGATCCTCCTGAGTCTGTTCACGCTGACCGTTCTCTGTCCCCCGCAGTGAGGCAGATCCTCCTGGGTCTGTGTCACGCTGACCATTCTCTGTCCTCCGCACTGGGAGCTGCTTGTGGTCCCTCTTCAGTCCTCACTCAATCTCCTGCTGATGGTTGAGGCATCAGAATACGGAAGCCTTCCTAGTTTTACTGGGCAGTTAGAAGTCGGGGGAGAATTTTCATTTTGAACCTGTTGCTCTAGTTTAGCTGACACCCTCGAAGAAGTTACCAGGAACCTTGCAGATGGATTCTTACAGGTGGCGTTGATCTGTGGATTTGAACGCATCTTAGAAGTTCACTATTGATAGCTGCATGAGTTTCATCTTTCATTTCCCAATCAACTTAGACAATGAAAAATGACTCCCTATAGATAAATGGGGGAACACTGGAGACGTGCTTTGTATTTATACCCCAGGAATGCTGTAGAGCAAAGTCATTGTGTCGTTTTAAGAAAACAATTTTAAGAAAAAATAATGTTTTATTGTTCCTAACAAGAAGTAGGCATCTTGATTTAGGGTCATATTTTGGTTTAAATTCTGGAAGTTTCTCTTGTTCGAAAGAGAAATTGGTGTAATTTTTTTAAACCTGTGTTTGCTGTAAACGTTTGGGTCGCGACAGGTGTAGTCACAATAGAGGATCTTCAAATTACTTAAATGCTTTTCTGCAAATTCTGGTTCCTTAGCCCTTACTTTTCTCACCTTGATTTTGGTTCTGCCTCATTTGCTGCTTAATTACATTTATCCTTCAAGTCTCATTTTCTCCACCGTCGCCCTCCTTGGGGGTTTTATTCATTTGGGCATGTGTAGAGAAGATGAAAGTCTCCACCTTTGCTTGGTCGTCTCTGCAGGAGAGGGAGCTGAAGAGCGGGGCTGAGGCTGTGCTGGGGGGTGGCGGCAGCACACCAGCCAGTGTGCGCCTGGACCCCAGCCCGCTCTCACACCTCCCGCCCGGGTTCTGGTTCTGGAAGGCCGACCGGTTACCCCGTGCCGGGGAGGCCGAGCCACCTTGAGCTCTGGGCCGGACGTTTCCGATCCCAGTACCCTCATGTGCTTCCTTCAGTCTGCGTCTGAGCTCAGAGCGGCTGGGCGAGGGCTCTGTTCTGTCACTCTTTATTTTAAGTAAATGCCTTCTCTAGGGAGTCTGCTTTCCTGTGTCACAGGGAGAGCTCTCGCGTCGGTCTTTCTCTGCTTGCTGGTTGTCTGCTTTCCTCTCGGTGTAAATTCCCTTTTCTCTGATGTGCTGCTCCTCTGGTTCACCTGGGCCCCGTGCTGGCATGGAGGTGGTGCCGAGGAGGGTTCCTGAGGAGTAAACAGGCTCTTCCCATTTGCACTTGTCCCCATCCGGCAGAACTCAGGGTGGTGGCTAGTGTCCGCGGAGGAGGGTGTGAGAGCCCTGGTGTGGCTGATGCTGGGTTGAGGAGCTGACTCACTTGGGAGGAAGGGACCAGCTCCCAGGGGCCCTGCTGAGGACCGGGGTCTTAGCTCAGGGGCGGAAGCTGGAAGACAGTCATCGTGTGCTTCAGGGAGAGACTCAAGGCATTTTTCTCTTGAATGCAGGTGGGCTGGATATTCACAGATCTGGTCTCGGAGGACACCCGGAAGGGTACAGTTCGATACAGTCGAAATAAGGTGAGATGGGGCGGGGGTGCCCGCCCGGTACCATGCTGCTGTGGCTGACGCTCCCTGCACAGCTCGCCTGGCTTTTAGGCCGCGCTGTTTTCAACACCATGTTCTTGATAAATAAAGGCTGGGTCTGTTCGTTCTGCCTTGTAGCTGAAAACCTACCTTGCCATGGTAAACCAGTGCTTTTTGGAGGTTGGCCGGTGGGGGTGGACTGCCTAGTGCTTCTGGCCTGACTAGTCCCGTGTGCCCGTCTGAGGGGTCTGCAGCAGGCAGGGGGTGCAGGCACTTCTCTCACCGCGGTTTCCAGCACGTTACGGTTTCGTTCTTACTGTTTCCTGTCGAAGGAGGAGCATATTTTGACGTGGCGCTGTAAACCTGACATACTGGTTCTCTTGTCTTAGGACACCTATTTCCTGAGCTCAGAGGAGTGTATCACCGCAGGAGACTTCCAAAATAAGCACCCCAACATATGTCGGCTCTCCCCAGATGGACATTTTGGATCCAAGTTTGTTACTGCGGTGGCTACAGGTATACGTGGGGGCAGGGCTATATTGTAAATATTATGATCTCGTTAACGTGTTTTGTTCCTCTTTCAGTAACTTTGCTTTCCTAACTAAGTTACAGTAGATTTTACTAAGGGACCTGTGAGACATAAGATTCTTCTTTTTCGTTTGTGGCTAAAATCCTGAATTTCTCAGCATCACGCAGAGTCCTAGCACGGGAGCGTCAGCATCGCCCCGCTCTAGTCCACCCTCTTGTCCTCAGGCCGAGTTCTCTTGGTTCTGGACCGGAGTTCAGGGCACCGTTGCCCCTTTCCAGTAACCAAAGGTGACTGGCTTTGCAGGAGGAGAGCCACGGTTCCTGTTACTTGTTTGTTTACAAGTGGGCGTGTCATTTTAAGAAACCATTTCCATATGGCTTTCTTGGAGTGATGCTTGTGTGTGAGAGATGCTGTATGTCATGTTACATGTTATGCAGGTCATTGTGTGTCGTAAATACGCATGTATATGTGTGTATGTCATAGGTAGTAGTAAAGGCTTGTGGCCCGTAAAAAAGTGCCACCAAACCTTTTATAACATATTTGAGATGCTGTCTTGGAAAAAAGCCAGGAGAGGACCATATGACTGAAAAAGAGAAAGAAGTTGAAACTTTGGGAACCAAGTCATAAAAACAGTCTCTTGTCAGTTTTTCAAAGTAGACACTAACCTGGAGCCTGTGAGGACCTGGTTTCTACCGTCCCAGAGATGATAATCTGGTTTGTTCATGGTAACATGCTTCCTCAAGTTGAGAAAACTCTAGTTCACAGTCAGCCCAAACATGTCAGCACCTGGAGCCTCGCTGGCCCCGGTTGGCCTGTCCACACTGTTGTGGGGGCCCTGAAGGAGGACACCGTTCGTGCTCTCTCAGTTGTTAAGATCCATTTGATTTGAGAGCCACTTAGAGTGACAGGCAGCTTCTTTTTGAAATGCATGTACTTTCGGGGCTGAGAGGCAGCGGCAGCATTGTCCATATGTTTGCGTGAACCAGTGGGATCAGGTTGATCTTCCCAGGTCGGTGTCTGGTCATCTGTTTAAGGAAGTGGGCGGGAGTTTTGAGTGGGACTAACAGAGGCAGAGTTCTGTAGCATAGAGGCCCTTCGCAAGGGAAGACCGGG